CGTGCAGAACGACGGCACGGACGTCACGCTCGAGACCCGCGTCGTCACCGCCACCATCACTTCCACCCTCATCGACCAGGACCCTGACGCCGTCTACACCGTCGACAAGGTCCTCGAGCCCCGTGAACTGTTCAAGGTCGCAGAGGTCGTCGACGCCCCTGCCCCAGCCCCCGCCGGCTCCAACAAGTCCAAGCACGCATCGCCGCCAGCCCCAGCCGGCCCCGACGAGGCGCCCGCTGACCAGGCTACGTCCGCAAACTCAGCCTTCAGTACCACCGCTGTCGGCCGGTGGCTCGAGCCCACCGCCGCTGCTCTCGCGGCGTCCTTCCTCGTCGTCGTCTAATTAGTTACCCCTTTTCTCTCTCTTTTTTTCCCCCTCTTTTCTAATTTCCATTATTAAATTTTTCTTCTTTTTTTCTCTTCTGATGTTTTAGTTTAATGCTTTGGGATGGATGAATATATATATATATATATATATATATATATAAAATACGGAGTCTCTCTCTTCCCTCGATGGGTTTGTCCCGTGCGTTGTGCCTGCTTTGACCCAATCATATTATTATATGGACTCTCGACTCCGTGTGTGTCTGTGTCCGCGGGCGCGTTTAATCTCTTCACTGCCAAGTCTTGTTTTTATATCAGGTAAAATAAATAATCATATTGAAAGGGAAGCGTGCCTTTTTGCTGCAAGCGAGGGTCATGGCGTCCGCATGGAGCGCCTATGTAAAGCCAGACACATCTATTTCCGCGGGGACTAATACTCGAGTCAACTTGCAAGGAGGAGGAGTGCTTTTGTACCCACTGTGTCAAGCATTTGATCGAACACCCTGAGGACTAGATAAAAGAAGCAACAGTGTCGGTTCACATATTGTGTGCGTCTGTGTATATAAAGAGGGAGACGGCAAGACAACCGTTTTGCTGCTGCTGCTGCTGCTCGCCCCGCCCCGCCCCGCCCCTATTACTTTGACGATCTCTGTCACTGGCGACTCGGAGTCGCATCTGCAAAACGAGTCATTGGTCTTGTGGTTACCATGACCTTATTGCATGAGACCATCCGCCTAGTGATGTCGTGGAGATCGGGTGGCGACCGGAGCTGATCCACGTCTAGAGTTTGACCACTACGTGCTCGATGAAATGCCCCGGTGCGGGTACATTACACGTCTCCCCTTCCATCTCAATTAATATCTCCTTGAAATTTCCTGGCGAGACAATGTGGATTGGAGCGAGCAGGAGACCGTTCGCCTAGTGCGTCTTCGAAAGTGGAGGACCAGTGGAGCTGTTCCACATCTAGAATTTGAGCACCAAGTGCTCGATGAAATGCACCGGCTGCCGGCGCATTACACGACTCCCCTTCCATCTCAATTAACATCTCCGCGAAATCTCCTGCAATGTGGATCGGAGCGGGCAGGAGAGGTGCAGCCTGTTTGCTCCGCAGAATCAATGTTTCTCCGAGCCAGACGGCCATGCTCCATGGTATTCCTACAGCTGATTCGTCTTCCCTTTTGCTTTTGGTACTTGTTGGTTTTGTGTCGTTATGTTGATTCGATAATGCTGATGCAAAGTACGTCTTCTGGCTACAATTTTGTTGATTGGCTAAAATCTCACAATGCTGTGCAACAGGAATGTCTACTGCAACAAGGAGAAATTGCGCGGCAAATTTCATGCTTGAAGAACTTGAAGATGTTGGTGAGAGTATGAGCCAAGCAAAGAGCTCGGTGATGTCTCTTGCAAAGAGCTTAGCTTGCCTCCCTGACGAATTCCTTGCCTCCAAAGAGAAGAGGCCATTGACTCGGATGGAGCACAAGCGCCATATCGAACTTGGCATTAAGAAGAGGGTGAAAGCACAGTACTCCAATGGAAAATATCACGGGCTAATGAGTAAAGTCGTTGCTAATGCTGACACCCTCCATGACTCCTATGATATGATTAGACTCAACTCTAATATCATGTTGACATCGAAGAAGGACGATATTTGTTTCAGCTCTTTAGCAGAACAGCTAGCAAGTGGGGAGTTTGAAGTGCAATCAAACGCTTTGTCGATCGCAGCAAAGACTAAGTGTAAAGATTGCTTGGTCCTTCCTAAGCTGAAGCTGAGAATTGTGCAAGAGGCAATAAGATTGGTGCTAGAGGTGGTTTACAGACCACATTTCTCCAAAATATCCCATGGTTGTCGTAGTGGAAGAGGGCAGATATCAGCTTTGAATTACGTCGGCAAAGAAATCGGTGTATGTGATTGGTGGTTTAGATTGTTCATCAATAAGGAGGCTGATCAGAGAGTTCTTTCTAAGCTTATGTCTGAAATGAAGGACAAGATCGAGGATTCCGAGCTATTGAGTTTCATCCAGAGCATGTTCGATGCTAGAGTGCTGAATCTTGTTTTCGGACGCTTCCCCAAGGGCCATGGTCTTCCTCAGGAGGGAGTTCTGTCACCTATTCTGATGAACATATATCTGGACAACTTCGATCATGAAGTGTTTGGGATGTGCATGAGATACGAGGGGCTTGGTACAGAAACTGGTGACAGGAAAGATGCCCAAAGCTCAAAACTGCGCAGTTGGATACGAAAACAAATTAAAGAGAGCGACGATAAAAGTGTTGACCAAGTGAATGATGGTGCAGGGACAAGAATTTCTGCTTGCAGATACATGGATGAAATCTTTGTTGCAGTTTCAGGTTCGAAAGATACTGCAATGAAAATAAAGGCTGAGATTGTGAGTTATCTAAAGAACACACTTAATTTAGATGTAGAAGATCGGATGGATCTTTCAGCGATTAGAGAGAATTCTCGCGGGATTCAGTTTGTTGGGACAGTGGTCAGGCTGACCACTCCAGCAAGTGCTGAACTGAGGGCAGTTCACAAATTGAAGGACAAGGTCAGGCTTTTTTCTTCTCAGAAGCAGGAAATCTGGGATGCTATGACACTTCGAATCGGTAAGAAGTGGCTGGCATATGGTTTGAGGAGGATCAAAGAATCGGAGATCGAGCAGCTTGGTCTTAGCACTCCATTGCTGGATCACATCTCCCAATTTCGTAAGGATGGCATGAAAACAGATCATTGGTTCAAGTCCTTGCTCAAGATCTGGATGCAGGATGTGAATGCAAAGATTGAATCTAGCGAGGAGGTACTTCTTTCCAAGTACATTGCAGAACCGGCATTGCCACAAGATCTGCGCGATGCATTTTACGATTTCCAGAAGCAAGCCAACGAATATGTTTCATCAGAGACGGCTGCCATTGTTGAGCTGTTGCACCGTCCTTGCTCACACCCTAAACCTTCCACTCAGGGAGCAGTCACCAGATTGGAAGCTCCCATGAGCTCTATAAAGAGAAGTCTTCATCGATACGGTCTGATCAACCTCGAAGGCTTCCCAAGGCATGTATGCATGCTCATGTTACAAGATGATGAACTAATCATAAGCTGGTTCGCAGGTCTAGTTCGGCGGTGGCTGAAATGGTATTCCAAGCTCGATAATTTCGGAGATGTTAAGCTCTTGATGGTGGAATGTGTCAGAAAATCTTGCATTCGGACTCTGGCAGCAAAGCACCGGATGCATGAAGTTTTGGTCGAGAAGAAGTTCGAGTTGGAGCAGCATGGGATCCCGTTGACAGAAGACATGGATACCGATAACACAGTGATGGAATCTGATGACGATGAATCTTTGATGTTTGGGATCTCTGGTAGCGGATTGTGTCTTCTATCATTGTCCAGAGTGAAAGTCCCAGCTCGGGTGTTCAATTGCTTTGTTATGGGATGCACCATGGCATCTCCGAGTATGTACACCCTTCATGTCAAGGAGAGGCAAAGGTTTCCGGGATGGAGGACTGGATTCGCAACATCAATTCATCCTAGTTTGCATGGAAGACGTATTGGCTTGTGCAGTCAGCACGTCAAAGATTTGTATTTAGGAAACATATCACTTCAAAATGTTGAGTTTGGTGCTCTGAGTAGATAGAAGCCCTCTGGATTTCGGATTTTCGGAATTCTTAGGGTTGTTTGCTCAAAGATGTTCGAGTTGATCAGCAAAGTACAACACCAGTAGCACGGCACAGGATGGAACCATCAGGTTAGACCAGTTCGGATTGTTATTGTTATCCTCATCAGCATGTTAATCTTTCCATCCCTACTATTGACAAAGAAGCTCTACCCATAGCAAGAAATCCTTGGCCAAGGCTCATCCTTTGGCATCAAGCCTCTAAACCCCTTTGTCATCATCAAATTTATATATGATTTTTTTTATTTCTGGCAAAATGAGTCATCTCAACGAGGATCACAAATCCAGTGAGTATATTTATGGACTCAAAATTACAAGGACCTGTCCATGCAACAGTATAATCGATTGCAGGAACACCAGCATCTATGGAAATGCAGGATATATACTCTATTGCAGGACAAAATAAATATCCCTGTCCTGGAAAGAAGGAAGACTAAAGGGGCAAGAATGTGAAATTTCCATCTAAGTGGGTAGAACAGATGGAAGGGAAAATGGGGTCACTGACCACTGGGACATTAGATAAAATTGACTGCTCACTGCAAGAGAGATTTCAATCTGTGGATTAGATAATTTGACTGCCAACTAATTCGTAAAACTCAAAAAACTTAAATATGGACATCTTATATGGAGACCAATCCAAAGAAAAGAATTCTCCACAGATTTGTGCAACAAAAAATCCATGAGAGCAGCGAGGTTACCCCTTCTTTTCTTGGCCCAGTTTTACCAGCAGCAGTAGGGCCAACGAATAACAAGTCTAGCAAAAAAGCAAGTAGAAGGCCTTCAGCTTGTTCGGGTTTCATGAAAATAAACAGACAAATCAAATTTTGAAACAGAGAATCTGGAATTGATCCCACATAATCAACAAAGGAAGTCAATGAACCATTCTTTCAAGTCAAAAAAATCCTTCAGCCAAACAATGGAAAGTTGAGCAAAAACTCATGCCAAGAACCAAATAGCGAGAGCAATATTAAACCTGGAGTCCTCCACAAAAGAGCAGCAGCATTTTAATTTCTTTCTTAAAGAGAAGCTTTCTCAAGCTCAAATTATTAGCAAAGGAATATAAAATAAAAGAAAACATTTTAAGCATTGTAATCCATATTGACGATGAAAAAGATGATAACAGCTCCAATTAGTTGAAGTTTTAGTTCTGTCTGACCTTCAGCATTGCAGATCAGCAACCATTCAGCAGATTGTACTTCTAGGAAGTAAGAACCCCAACCACCCAATTGCTTCAGAAGCGTATTGGGGTATGTAGCTCCTCATTACGTCTAGGAGAATGGGCTGTACAACTATGCGAGAAGCAGCATCATTGGCGAAGAGTATCAAGCATGAAGAAGCATCTAAATCAAGAACGAAGATATTCTCAAATCGTCGAAGATGGTGTGAGCGAGCGAAGAACAAAACGACGTGATGTGGAGGAGAACCACAAAAGCAACGAATGCCGAAGACGGGCAAGTCACTAAAGCAGGATCACGCCTCCTCGACACACAAAAGAAAAGAATACATAGAGCTTAGTTGCAATTCACCATCCTAGTAGCATCAATGTCTATTTCATAACCAAATACCATTAGTTCTTGGTGTTTTATGAAAGACAGGTATATGTTAAATAAAGTTCAAAGAGACTTATCCAAATTCAAGTTGTCGAGTGTTGATCAAATAGAAGACATTTCATTTCGACATTAGCCCAGGGAGCTACCGCTCACAAAGAGAGGCATATGACCACGTACAGTCCTCAGCTCCTGCTACGCCTGTATCTGAAACAAAAAAGAGAGAGCAACAATCAACTAGAAGACACAATAACTGTCACTAAAAAAGAATGGGCCAGCAAGGACTCTCACCCATATAAAATTGGGGGCACAATTTTACTCCTATAAGTTTATTTCTTTAAAGAAATTGTTGTTTTCCCAGCTCACATTTTGGTCACCCAAGTTGCAATTGTGAAATTTTACCGGAGCACTAAAGACTCACCCTCTAAAACCTTACAACTGCTATGTATTCAAAAGTACTTGTCTCAATCTACAAGAAGGTTTTGCAGCTTACCCATTAGTATGTGGTGATTCAGAATGGCGATTGTCATTAGAAGGTGACCTGCTATAACTGCGCCTACGAGGTGACGGACTGCGCTGTCTTGGAGAACGGCCACGAGGACTATGACTTCTGTAGAAAGCAATTAACCAAATAAATCATAAAGTCTACCAGCTTCATTATACAATAAAATAATAATCAGCTGATACAAATCAGCTTTGATAATTGAAATTTGAAAGTTAACATGTCAATGGTAAAAGGGCATTTATCATTTTGATCCCAGGTAAAATCTTTTACCAGTAGTCAATAGCAAAAATGGTTAACTGTAGTAACAACAAGAACACATATGAGGGATAAAATATTTTTCCTTTTAATAGTTGCTTCAATTTTTGTTAGGATAGGTGTGTATCAGCAGTGATTCTAACTGGCATAAAGCCACAATTCAGAAATCAATATTTGGAACTTATACAAACAAGATAATCCTAGGATTTTCAATACAAATCTTTTAAATATTAATGACTTTCAAAACTTTCTCGTTAATATAGGTAAATTACCAAAAGGTTTTTAATTGGAGCAGTGGACATCATAAATTATCCTGAAATAAGGCATTTCAATATCTTTGAAATTGACCTAGCTGTCCAAAAGATGATCATCCCTTCAATATATACAAAGCAACAACAAAATCTAGCAAGGGTAAAAAAAATCAAAACATGTAAAAACAGATATACCTGTAACCTCGGCAAAAAATTGTTATTTGAAAATATTGAGTTATCAAGATGATAAAAATCAATCGATACATAAAAATGCACAAACCTATAAAATAAGTGTTTGATAAGCACATCTAGTGAATTTCTTCATACTTGCATTGGATCATGAAAAGAAGATGATGTTAGTTGAAGGGAAAAGGTCACGACCACTGTAGGATGTTATATAGCTAACAAAATCATGGTGAAAAGACAGGAACATTCAATTCGATGGCGTTAGATGAAATAACTTTCTTATAGTGGACATGATTTGCCTAGTGATGCTTGAACTAGGACCTATTAATCAAGTAAAATTGCAGACATATATCCTCAAGTTCATTCATTTTTTAATCAAAAATTTTGATAATATCACACTCAGATACCAGAGAGATCTTTTCCATGCTTTCCATTAGTAGTCTGGCAAGTTATCACCTTGCCATTATCAAGAAACAGTTAGCATGCTTTAAGTACTAAAATAATTTTATCAAAATCATCTTATAAGGGGATTTTGCTGTTTGCACTTCAAGATGTGACATATTTAATTCAATCTTTAAATATCTTTTTCTTTTGATATTCAATTCTTTTTACCAAAGTATGCTTCTGTAGGTATAAAACATACAAGTTTTCAAGAAACTACGGTAATTAAATTCCAAGGTATTCATTTGCTGCAATTTTACAACATTGCAGTTTTTCTTTGGAGTATATTTTATCTTGCCAAACATAAACTCAAACTTTTCAAATCCCATAATTTCAAGTGCCTCATGCACTTGAATGCCATTTTTTAGTATTCTGAGGTATATAAATAGTATTTAGGAATTTATCATTCCTATATTTGTCTATAATTAGTAGCTTGGAAGTTGATGAAAACCCATGAACCCAACCAGGTGACTGCTTGACAACTTCAATTACCTTCGACCATAGCTTGGACTTCGGCGATATCTGGGACTTCTACTTCTGCTTCGGCTCCGGCGCCTTCCACTTCCTAATCCTCCGGGACCAATTCGCAAACGGCATTCACGAGCAAAATGACCAGGCTCTCCACATTCATAGCACTTCATATCTGAACCTCCATGACGGTCACGACCACGGCTGCTGCTAGAGTTATGGGACAACTCAACTCTCCATCCATGCTTGCCTAAAAGGAGATGGCAGAGCAAAGTTTGTTGAAAGGCATGGAAGCTAGATATGATTCAGTTTTTTAGAAATCATATGTATATCAAGATATTGAAATCAGAAATAGAAATAGCATAACATTTATTCAATTAGATAAAGTAGCATACTTCATTGTAAATACTTATTTATTTAATTATTAAGATAAAAGAGGCAACTTCCAAAGAAATGTTGTTCATAACTTCTACTAGACAAAAGAGGAAGATAAGAGTTAGTGGTTGGTCAAGTGAGAAAAGTACAGAAAAGATTAGAGGACTGCTGCAGTTAAGGAACTACACCATAACAAATTTGATGAGTTGGAAATGCAAGGGTTGGTACTGAAAGGGACAACACCAGAGGGAAGTCAGTAAAGCTCAGGCCTTCACTCTATGGAAATCTTCAGGTTCAGACATAGCCTCAGACTGGTGGCAGCCTAACTCGGACTGGTCCACATCCATCCCTCCAATCAGATTAAAAACTAGTTTGCATGTGATGCCAAATGAGAATATTTGATCCCATTTCTTTTCCAGTAATCCTAGGTTACAAAGAAAACATTTTTTTAACATAATTTTCAATCATGACCCAAACTTAATATACTTTGCAAACATAAGAGAGCCCAATCTCATCTTACAGACAAAATACAAAATCCTTCAACAGTTCAGCTGTTCTTAGACTATAAAGTATACATGATCCAGCAACAAACAACAATATCTGTTGTTCCTCTCTCTTTTTTTTGAATTTTTTAACCTCCAAATTCAAAGTTGAGAAGTCAAATGCAATATAATAGACCAAAAGTGCTAGCTAGCTTAAGTAGTAAAAACTGAATCATTTACCTAATCATTTACCTAATCAACAACAAACAACAATATCT